GCAAAGGAAAATAGCTTTAGATACTTAAGTGACAATTGAATTTATTCTTATCATTGTTTTACTAGCTTTTGTATAATCTTCATCGCTATTATGAGATATAAAATGTATTTATCAAATCTGTAATCATTATGCCAAAAAATCTGAATTACTGTAACATTTTGTATATTGTTAAAACTGTAACTTTAATTGTAAAAAAAAAATAAAAAAAAATCTTTAAATAAAAATAAAGATTTATCGGGCTTAAATTAAAAAAAAATTATGCTTTAGTTAGGATTTCTGTTATTTTCTAAATAAATAAGAATCATAAGATTTTAGAAAGTCTATTAAATTATATCTTACCCCCAAACAAACAAAAGCCAAACAAATCAAGGAAATGTTACAAATGAGGTAAGAGCAAAAACAGTACTTTTTTGTATTAAAATCTTTCTTGTACTGTTTTAGTTTTTTTGAGACAGCATCTCACTATATAGCCCTAGATAGCCTGGAATGCATTATTTAGACCAGGCTGGCCTTGAATTCACAGAAATTCACTTCCACCCATGTGCTGGGATTAAAGACATGCACCACCATGCCCAGTGTCTTTCTTTACTCTAATAATAATGTGATATGGAATCAGAATAACTTCCATAGCAATGTTCCTTGTACTTTAATAAAGCACATGATTCATCCTTCTTTGTGTACACTAGATGTTGAACACACATTTAACTAGTATGATTGATTTTTCCAAAATTCAAATTGATTATCCTGATATAAATAGCCTTTTGACTTTTTATTAGGCAATATATATACTTTGTAGGTATAGAGATGAAATTCAGGGCCTTGTCTCTGCTAGGCAATGATCTACCACTGAGATACACCTTTAGCTACTAAAATCAATCACTTTTACATTATATCTATATGTTAAGGCTATAAAGGGGGTGTAAGAGAAGCTCATTCATTTGTGAGGAAAATAAAACCTTATTTTTGGGGATGAATATTTATAGCAAGTATCATTATTTTGGATAAAGGTGTTAAACAGGTTCAATTTAACAACTGTAAGGTGTTCACATAATACTCAATTTTTAACATGGAATAAATAAACAAGACTTATTTTTTTAAATCAAAGAAATGATTCTTTTTGCTCTTATCTTTGTCTCAAAACATTGATACTTTGACTTTGGATACGCTTCATTAAAATAATTTTCATCATTTTATTTCTTTACTTTGTAATTACTCAGGATGCCTTCAGAATTAAACCATAGCTTAAATAGTAGCCATTCTAAATCAACACCTTTTACATCTATGGTAATGAGACATACATATACATGTACAAGGACTAGAATGTAACAGAAACTTGCTCCCACCAGCTAGACAACCTTCTCACTGAATTCCTTAATGTTCAGATGCTACAAAAGCAATGAAGTTACACTGTGACATGGCAAGCAACCCTGAGCTCAAACTGTTTTCTATAATTTTTCCTTTAAGTTACTGACATTTAAAATTATTTTTTATCTTTCTGGTGTCAGAAATCTATTCTGTATTAAGCTCAGATTACTTAGAGCAAGAACCATAATCACTGGCAGGGACAAGGATTTCCAAAAAGAAGTATGTAATTAGCTAAGACAAGCTTTGATAATGAAAGCCACTGTAACTGTATAATGCTAAAATATTTTTTGAAGGATCTTGAAAATGTCTTAAATAGCTATCATTGTCCTTGCTACTTGGCATTTAAAGTAGCTTCTAAATGACAAAAGATTCTCATTAAGAAAAAGCAAAGAAGGAACAGGGATCTTTTCTAAACTGTTCATTTCATATCTAGGAGAAAAATGTTAATACAAATAAAGAATCTACTCTTCTGGGGGAAAAATCAAGAATAACTAGTATTAAATATCAAAAGGAAGAATGCATAGTTCATAAATAATATTCTTTTTTTTTTTTTTTTTGATCTTTTTGAGACAGGATCTCCCTGTGGCCCCAGCTGGCCTGGAACTTACTATGTAGACCAGGCTGGCTTTGAACTCACAGAGATCTGGCTGCCTCTGCCACCCAAGTGCTGGGACTAAAGGTGTGCACCACCATGCCCGATGTAAATAATATTCTTTTTTTAAACTTTAAATCCACGCCCACTCCCTCCCCTCCAACACCTACCATATCTCCCTATCACTTTTTTTCTGACAACTTCGTGTACTTTCTTTCTTTTTTTTTTTTGACTGTACTCAGGGTCTTGTGCATGCTAGGCAAGTGCTTTATCATTGAACCATACCTCCAGCCCAAGAAGTAATACTCCCAAGGAAAATTAAGGTTCACTAGAATGTCAAAATTGTTCTATAGTATCATTCCACGTCACCATTACTAGCATACATTAATCAATGTTTTTATATATCTTAGTGTTTTATAACCTCCGAGGAAGAAGCACAGTATAACGGTGGTCAGGGAAGGTTTCACCAAGAAACTGGTATCTAAATAAGGATCTGAAGATGGTGAGGGAACAAGCCACAAAGCTTACCTAGAGGAAGAATATTCTAAGGAAAGGGTATGACAAATACAGGGGGCTGAGGCAGCAATGTATTTGTGGTTGAGGATCAACAAGGAGGCCAGTACAAAGGGAAGTGAGGGAGAGTTAGGAGAGTAGGACAGGGTAAAATCAGAAAGGTCAATTAGATAGCAGATTAAAGAAGAATGCTTCAGGAGAGAAGCCTGAATTCAGGACTTATTGTATAGATGGTATTTAAAAGCAGTACAACTAGATGAGGCTTCCCAAGGACAGAGTGAGATTGAGAAAAAGAAGAGGACCAAGGATGGAGGCCAGTGGCACATCCAAATAAAGAGGTAGGTGAGGGGACATGAGGACAAATCAGCAAGATCTGAGGAAGTGCAGCCAGACTCTGGCAGGAAACGGAGAACAAGTGTCCTGGAAACTAACAGGAGAAAAGTGTTTCCGGAGATGGCTGTCAAAAGGCAACAGGCCAAGAAAGCCAGGCCCTGAGATTTTACCAGTAGACTTAGCAACATGAAGGTCAGTAGTGGCTTGAGAAGAGTTGCCTTTCTTTTAAGTTTTTGTGAGTCTAGGACTCAAACTCAGGGCCTCATACATGCTAGGCAAATGTTCTACTACTGAGTCATACCGAGTCCAAGGAGGAGGTTGTAGAATCAAGAGAAGGTATATGTGTGTGCATGTATGTGTATGTAAGTACATAAAAATAAATTACTGCATGTTTGATCCAAAAGAGACAGAAAACTGAGGCTGCAGGGAGGGGAAAGTAGTTGAGGCAATGCCATCTAGTATATGAAAGGGACAAGATCTAGTATATAATGATGAGTCATGGTAGGCAGAATTAAAATCTTGCTTCTCAAAGTAACAACTTCTGTGATTTAGGGCAACATTCTTACCCTCTTTGAGGATTAGTTTTCTTCCCTGTGAAGAATTCCTTGGAATTACAGCATGTTTTAATTAAATAATACTATTTTACTAATGCCTCAACTTCTGATTTTCCTTACTTTTCATTGGAAAGATGGGCATGAAAACGACTTTTACAATGTGCCTTTTCCCTAAAATAGTAAATCTGTACCTAGTACCTACTGAAAGAGTTAAGTGCTATAAAGTATACAGTCGCACCCAAAATAAAGATAGTCAATTTATGGTAACACAGTATTATTTCGGTTGTTCATGTTGCATCTTTGGTATAAATGTTGGCAGAGAACAAACGGGCCTTCTTCTCTCACATACTCTGTCTTAATTTGCTTTTGTGCCCTGTTTGACAGCTGAATATCATATGAAGGTCTCAGGTAAGGTTCAGGACAGCAAACATGATGGACAAAATTGATGGAAAGACTCAGAAACAAGAAAAGATGAAAAGGGTCATCTTATAGGGCAGCGCACTGCAAAATGTGGATGGTGACCTGTGAGCTCATGTACCTTAAGCCAAGGGTGATTCAGCGCTTCATAAACAGTGATCCTTTCAGCAGGATCCAGCATCAGCATGCGACGAACTAGGTCTTTGGCACTTTCAGAGATATGGCTCCACTGCCTTGGATTCATCTGGGGAGGAGAAAAGGAAAGCTACACAGTTATCTTCAGTGAGAAGTCAACATTTACTATTATTTAATATTCTATAGTGTTTGAAGGTGAGTAATTCTCAAAGAACAGAAATCAGATTCTAAAAGACCTTTCCAAGGAAGAAAAGGATACATGCAAAGCTTTATGACTGCTATCACTCACTATATTAGAATCTGTATCAGTAATTATTCTGTTCATGCTGTTATATTGTAATATTTTCAATATCTGAAGGGTAGAATGCCCATGACTCTAGTTTCCAGTTTTAGATCCTCAGCCAAAGAGGATAGACTATGTTGATCCAGAAAGGGCTAAAATAAAATTAAAAAATGAAAATATTTAAAGAAATATATATATTTGGAGACAACGTTTCATTGCAGGTCAGGATGGACTAGAGCTCACTCTGTAGCACAGGCTTGCCTTGCATTTCTAGATCTTTCTACTTCAGCCTCCTGAATGCTGGGATTACAGGCCTGTGCCACAACACCCAGTTATATAAATATTTTTAAAACACATAATTTGGGGGCTGGAGAGATGGCTCAGTGGCTAAGAGTACTGGCTCTCTTGCAGAGGACCTGGTTTTGGTTCCCAGCACCCACATGATGGTCAATAACTATAGAAAACTCCAGCTTCAGGGGAATCATACCCTCTTCTGGCCTCCATGGGCATTGTATACATGGATGCACTTACATACACGTAGGTAAAACACTCATACACTTAAAAATAAATCAGTAAATTTTTAAAAATAAAAAATATTTTCCAAGATTGGGATCAGAAGCTGAGCATGGTACACACCCCCATGATCCTAGCAACTAGGAGACCAGGGCAAGGGTCCTGTGAGTTTGAGGTCAGCCAAGGCTGGATAGGATCCCCAAAGAAAGAAACACACACACACACACACACACACACACACACACACACACATAAACCCTAAAACAAAATTGGGATCAACAGTAATTGTGAAGCTATGAAAAATCATTACTAGGATATTCTGATTAGAGTATTTGGTACTTAGAGAAAAACGTACTATCATCATAACCTTGAAAAATAGCCAGTTTACTTATATACTGTTCTTAGTGAAGACACTTCTTTTAGATGAGACAATTAAGCCATGTGGTAAGTTGAGTAAAATCAAACAAAAGAATTATGAGTTTTTAAAAAAGATTTCTGATAAAGGCTGTGGGTCTGTGAGTCAAAAGTTGAGAGGCTCCTGGGAAAGGGGAAATGTCTAAGACCAGAAATGAGAAAAACATTCAAGGAAAGTGCTTAAAGCTTGGAGCTGGGAAGGGAAGTGGGAACAGGAGGTTGTGATGGAGGTGGGTCTCATTCCTTGTTCAACATCAGGAACCTGCCTGACTGGATGAGGGTATGGGAACTGCTGGGTGCCAGGAGCTTCAAATGGTGTCACAGCTTGTTATTGTTGCTGTTGTTTTGTTTTCTGATGCTGGTCCTCACACATGCAAAGCAAGTGATTTACTACTGAGCTACACCCCTAACCCAATGTGCTGGCTTTAACCAGCAGAGATTTCTGCCACCTTCTAAGAGAAAAAGAGAGAATGAACACAACAGTCTAAAGCCACATGAAATGACAGTACTTGTATTACAGCATAAAGAAATCATTCCAATCTGGCCAAGGGCTAGAAATAGACACCAAGCTTTGCCTAAGGTGAGGTTGTGGACTTACAGATTGAGAGGAAAACTCATCTTTATCTTAGGGATAGTTCTTAACAATTGGAAGGGTGTTCAGTTTTCTTTTTCCTTCTTTTAATAGAAAGTAGTTCTTGTTTTTTTAAAATTTATTATTTTTATTTTTTATGTGTACAAGCGTATTGCCTGCATGTATGTGATTGCACCCGTGTCATGCAATGCTGCAGAGGTCAGAAGAGGGCTTTGGGTTCCCCCAGAACTGGAGTTAAGGACGGTTCGTAGCCACCATGTGGGTGCTGAGAATCAAACCCAGGTCCTCTGTAAGAGTAGTCAGTGCTCTTAACCACCGAGGCATCTCTCCAGCCCTCAATTTCCTCTAACAGGTAGAATTCCAGATAACAACCGCTTTTGTTGTCAAATCCCATGAGATGATTGTTACGAGAGTGTTTAAATAATGTTATCCTATTGGAATTGTGGTCAATTGACCTGGTGACCTATTAGAAAAGGCCTGGATAGTTATGTTCCCTTTTCCATCCTGGGGCTCATGTGATCTTAAAAATCTGACTGATTTTTTTTTCTTGGCAAATGAAAAATCTGAAGGTTGTGGTAAGATTTTTGAAGAAAGGGTTTGGAAGGATATTTCCTTGCTGTTTTTATGAGTGAGTCTAACACATGGTTACCTCTTCCTTCAGCTACTAAGAGTAGATGAGATTAATTGGGGAGGCTGAGCCTATGAGGAAGGTAATAAATCTAGAAAACAATCCTATTTATTTGAATGTCAGCTTAGAATATTGTTGTATAGACAGATATCAATCGATCACACTGACAATGATACAATATAACATTGGATATTTTATACACAGTTTGGGAAATACTATTTCTGTCTTTTATAAAAACTTAATTGAGGTTTATTAAATATTAGGATGTATTCCACTTAAATAGTACTCTCTGGCCTGCCCTCACCTCCCTCTGCTTCCCTGGGCTGCACTGCCCACTGGCCTCTTTCCAGGATGTCGGGACTGACCTCTCGGCCTGCAGCCACCACTGCCTCCTGATCCCCTGCATCCAGACGGACTCAGTTCCTTCTCGAGGTCCCTGGGAGCCCTCTGGGCCTGGTGCCACCCTTACCTCCCTCTGCTTCCCTGGGCCTGCACAACCCACTGGGCTCTCTCCTGGGTAAGTCCATTGTGCCCTCTGTGCCTTGAGTACCACGGCCTCATTCACCCGCCCATCTCCCCGACCCATCTCCCCTCCTAGCCTGGGTGTGGTCCCATTCCTTATCTTGGCACGCCAGACACTGGGGGAAGCACCACTGCTTCTTGATCCTTTGCATCCAGACCAACCCAGTTCCTTCTCCAGGTCCCCACCTTCCTCGGCTTCCCCGGGCTGCACAACCGGCAAGCCACTCTCCCAGGAACCCTCTGGGCCTGGTCCCGCCCTCACCTCCCTCTACTTCCCTGGGCTGCACAACCCGCTAGCCTCTTTTCTGGAGACTGGGGCTGACCTTTCGGCTTCCTGATCCTTTGCATCCAGACCAACCCAATTCCTCAGTGCAGTCCCCAGGAGCCCTTGGGACCTCTTCCTGCCCCCATGTCCCTTTACATTTCTGGGTGGCACAGCCACCAGCTCATGAGACCAGCATCTTTCATGGGCCCTGCTCCCAGGCCAGTCCAACCCCCAAATTCCTGAGGCCAAAATCTTTCCTGGAGGAATCCAGACCTTAGGAGAAAGCCTGAGAGCATCTGATCCTCATCTGACTTGGGCCTCTGTGGGAACTCCTGAAGACAATAGCAATCCAGTCACTCCAATATAAAATCAAAAGAGAGAACTAGAAGCTTTGATGAACCAGCTTTTCATGCCCAAAAAGTAAACCACAAAGGCACATAAAGTTCACAAAAAGAAGCAGACCTAAACTTGAAGGCTTGAGTCTCACACAAGAATCAGACATATCAGAATCATAAACAACAAAAGAAATTCACATGCCAAAATCACAATGAAAGAATAACAAAATGGAAAGCCAAAACACTATATCCCCACCAAACTCCACCAATTCTGTAGAAGAGTTCTACAAGGAGAACCCCTTAGAGATAACCCAGGACACTGACTTTAAAAGAACAATCATAAACATGATCAAGGAATTCAATGAATTTAAAGAACACATGAACAAAATAATCAAAGATCTAAAGGAAGATGGGGATAAACTTCTACATGAACTCACAGAAAGATAGAAACATTGAAGAAAACTCAGGCAGAAATGAAGAAGGAACTACAAAACTCAACGAGCCAACTTGAAAAAACAGGGGAAAACCTCACCGCTGGAATGAATGAAATGGAAAACCGAATATCAACATCAATATCAGGATAAAGTTGAAGAATTGGACCACTCAAGCAAAGACTATGGAAATTTTTTAAAAACACAGGAATGGGATATGCAAGAATTGTGTGGCACCATAAAAAGACCAAACTTAGGAATCATAGGTATACAGGAAGGAGAAGAATCCCAAGATAATGGCATGGACC